ACCAGACAAGGTACTGTTCACGGATGGGAGCAGTTACGTTCGGGATGGGATCTGATATACAGGGGCAGCAGTAGTTACCCTGGACCACACCATTTGGGCACAGTTCCTGAACTTTTGGCCTTAATCCAGGCCCTTCTATGGGGACACAGTGCCGTCCCCCAGGAAAGAGGATTACCAACTTCAGCCAGAAAGAACATTAAAAATAAGGAAGAGATTTTAGCTTATTTGAGTCCATCTGACTCCTGAAAGCAGTTGCAATAGTGCACTGCAAAGGACATCAGAAAGGGGAGACAATTGAAGCCAGAGGAAATAGAGCCGCAGACCAAACTGCTAAGGAAGATGCCCAAAGACCAGTAGGGCCTTTACAAGTCTGCCAGACCCCAACCTACACCAAACAAGAGGAGGAATTGGCCTGAGCGGAACTCTATAAAGTTTAATTAAATTTGTCCTGGAAACCGGTGAAAATTGGACCAACTCCCTGCCCTTCGCCCTATTATGGGCAGGTGTACCCCCTACTGGGATGGGTCCCCCCCTTTTTTTTAGATCATACATGGTAGACCTCCCTTCATCCTTCCTGGGGTCAGGGAGAAACTGAAAGCTAGAATTCATAACCATTCCCTTGCTCAACTCCTTATAGGCTCTGCATTTTACCCAGAGAGCCACCCATAAGCTTGTTCCAGATACACTGCCAGTGCCCACCATGGACCCTGTACACCCCTTCCAGCCCGGAGACTCAGTGTGGGTAAAGAAGTTCACTGTCCAAGGACTCACCCCAGCCTTACAAATGACTGTTGGTTATGTCTCAACCCTGAACCCCCTTATTATTCAGGAATTGCTGTTAACATCTCTCTTGGAGATACCCCACAGGACATAAGAAACATCTCCTTGGACGCTGCGGAGGGTCACTGCCAGTGGGGTCGTAACCCGAAACTTACTCTTGGGGATCTACATAGACAAGGGACGTGCTTGATGCCTGCTAATTACCCTCTGAAGGACTCTTTCTACGCCTCATCCTGTGCCTCCACCATCCTGCTACCGGAGGAGCCATCTCGAGGAGGAGCAGCCATGCTGGCTGCCCCTGAAGGGACTTGGTGGGCTTGTACCAATGGAATAACTCATTGTGCCTTTCCCTCGTTTCTCTTAGACAAGGAATCACCAGGCCTCTGCATCTTAGCACACATACTTCCTCAGGTCTATTACTTCTCTGGGGAATGGGGCCGAGAACACTTAGGTCTCGCCCCACACCAGGTTAAGAGGGCCCCAGTCCTTATTCCTCTTTTACTGGGAATTGGAATTGCAGGATCAATGGCTATAGGAACATCAGCTTATTAAGGGGAACCAGGACTACAAAGAATTGAGCCAACAGATAGATACTGACCTTAGCACTCTTGAAAGTACAGTCAGCAAGCTAGAAGGGTCACTGAGCTCCCTAGCTTAAGTTGTCCTCCAGAATAGACGGGGTTTAGACCTACTTTTCTCAAGCAGGGAGGGCTTTGCCTAGCCCTGGGTGAAGCTTGTTGTTTTTATACCAACCACTCTGGAGTCATAAAAGAGAGCCTCAGCCAACTAAGAAAAAGATTAAAGGAAAGGAAGGAACCCAGGGCCAGCCAGGGGAACTGGTATGTCCCCTTGGCTAACAACTCTTATTAGTGCCTTAGCCGGCCCCCTCCTCATTCTATTGCTAGCTCTAACTGTGGGTCCTTGTTCGTTCAGATCTCTGGTAAGTTTAATACAATCCAGAGTCCAGGACCGTAAGATCATGGTCCTCCGAACTCACTATCATAGTCACAATATGGAGGACAGGGAGGAGGAGGAATCAAATATTTGATTCCCCGATAAGACCAGTAGGGAATGTGACAGTCGGCCCCGTCTGCCCAAGAGATAAGAACTCTGGAGACAGACCAGGCCAGGGGGGGGAAGTTTAAAAAAATAAAGTCAGTCGTAACTCAGTGCCGGGAGTTCCTTTGGGGTGGGACATGCAGACCTCCCTCTGGATCTGGCTGGGAAATTGGGGTCATAAAAAACCGCAGCATCCTGCACTCCCGTTTGGAGTCAGAACAGACATTCTGTTTGAAGCAAAACAGGCCAGGTTGTGTAAATCACCTAAGGAACAGCTAAAGATGGCCAGTTCTTTGTCCTGAGGGGCCAATCAGGGAGTGACAGACCAACAGCGGGATGGGATGGGAAAAAGGTATAAGAGGAGGGACTGCCCCTCCATCGGGGCTCTTGCCTGGGTGTTTGCCGGCTGCTGCGTCAGCCAAGGTTTGAGCCCGGATTCGAATCTGTAATAAATTCTTGCATGCTTAATCAAATTGGCTCTGGTGGTTCATCTCTTGGGGACTCGCTTCGTAACACTGTGGTCAGCAAACTACGGCTCGTGAGCCACATGAAGCTCTTTGGTCTTCCACAAAATACCACAGCCTGGGCGAGCCACAAAATACCACAGCCTGGGCGAGCCACTTTTGAAGAAGTGGCGTTAGAAGTTTATCGTATTTTATAGCCTCTGGCCAGATAGTTAACTGAGTTCTCAAATATTACTTCTCTGAAAAACCTGCATGGTCTAGGAGCTTAAGATTGGCATTGTCTTCTTGCCTTAATTCCTAGAATTTCTGTACTGGGAATCTCAGGGAATAAACTCTGATGGGAGAAGTTAAACTGCATGGCCTATCTTGTTTTCATTTAATTATTTTGAATAACTAAAATCTTTCTAGGACCTGGTTTTTCTCACTTAGTAGTGTTTTTTATCTACCGACCTTTTACTTGATCACCTTACAATAAAGGGCTCAGTTAGCCGCTCAACCCTGATTCTCGAGGCTGTGTCCTTTTTCTGTTTGGGCTTCAGTTCCATCTTTGGATCCTGACTGGATGTTTCTCAGTTCTCAGAAATGCTCTTGGCTTTTATTTCTTGATCCACTTGTCAATGTTGCCACTTTTCCTCCTGTTTCTCATGGCCTCCTGTCAAGCCACAGGAATTTAGGGGAAGGTGTTTGATGACAGAGGACTCATGTGCCTTGTGGATTATAATTAATAAGAAATAAAACATTTCACAGTTTAGATAGAAATGGGTACTTTATCAAGCAGATTAAAAGGACATGGTACTTGTCCTTTATTAAAACCTTGAAGGGAATTAGCCTAAAGAAAAATAATCAAACATGAATCAATAAGGGGGACATTATTGGATATTTCACTTTACACAACTTAATTTTAAGGAAAGCATGGCTATGGCTATTTCAGTAAATGAAGCTAAAGTCTCTTCTGGATCCTAGAACTCAGACTATATTTATAAATGTATACTAGTGATTCAGCTACTGCTCTGTTGAAATGGGCTTTTGCACTAACCTGGGGAATGTTACCACTTTTACTATTTTCTACAGAGAAAATATTTTCCAATTTATGAACTTAACAAACTTTTAAAACCCAGCCCATTTTTACATTTCTATGCAGTGGTTTCTTTACAATTATACATAAGATGTTTTTACTATAAAATTGAATTAATGTATAAAATACTGCTTTATGCCATAATAAAGGTATTAGCACTGTTAAAAAAAAAAAAGTTTATTGTATTTTCTGGCGTATAAGACGACCCCCTAATTTTACAGTTAAAACACACGTTTAGGCCTATATTCGCTGTATAAGATTACCCCCCACTTCAAAGAAAAGACTTACTTTGCCGTCAAGATCTGCAGGTAATTTTTGTGCAATTTTGGTCTTTTGCCCCCGATTTTCGGTTGACTTTTTTTCGTTTCAAAGGTCATCTTATATACCGGAAAATATGGTAAGTTTAAGAAATTTTGCTCTCAAAAAAAACATCATGTACTGTTGATATTTGGTTCTATTGACTAATGAGTTTGCCAACCACGATTCCAGAGACATTTTTAGGACATTAAATGGCTGGGTTCCATCTTCAGGGATTCTGATTCATGGGTCTGGAGCAGGGCCCAGCCAGGTGAAAGGAATGTGCAGCCAAGAGGGAAGCACAGCTCTGAGCTACTGGGACACAGTCTCCGCCCAGGCCTGACAGTAATTCCACTCAACAACTGCACCACCCCCTTTTCTTAGAGAGGGCATGCCTGGTTCTTTCTGTAAGCAGCACAAGTAAGATGAGTTCACGAATTTATCACCCAACATTCTCAGTAACTAAATATAGATTTTAGGCAATGGCATTGCATCAAGATGCACAAATATAGGGAGACCCTAAAATCAAATTCAGGCATCGTTTCTCCCTTCTGATAAACCTAGAAGTTGAGCTGAAGTTTGTTTTTGGTTTCCTTCATTTATTGTTTAAATGGGTATATAAAATATTTTGTGTTTACTTCTCCAAAAGAGAAATATGAATTAAGTTGCTCTTTATGTATGCTTTGGGGAGTGGGGATGGGGAGTGGGGTAGGAGACTCAGCAGCCTTTATTTAAAACCAAACTAAAAAGTCTTTTCCCATCTCTGCAGAACTTCTCATGATGTTCTGAAGGAATTCACATGATTAGCATGCTCTTGGCACCCCCCTAATTCCAGGTGTCTTTTTTTCTTCTTCTTCAAGACAATCTGAGCACTCATCATTGATTCCAGGTGTCTTTGATGATCCTGACAGCCTCTCTCCTGTTTATAAACCAGCCCCACCTCCTGGTTGGATTATTTCAGACCCAAGTTAAATGGACTGCTAAATTATCTCTCCAATCTAAGCCCAGCAAAAAACTAGCTTTTCTCAGTTAAACCAAAAGTGGGACTGGAAAGGGAGAGAGAATAGGAGGGTTAAAGATCAACTAGGACAGATGGCAGGGGAATGGACCTTTGACCAAACCGAAGTAGCCAAGATGCAGCTTTCCCCTGATAGGTGAAGAGATACCAGGTCCTCAGTGAAAAAGCAAAGGGAGAAACAGGGCGTGCCATGAGGGAAGCTGCTGGAGAGCATGAGGGAAAGGCAAGGAGGAGCCTGGGATCAGTCGCCTTGAACACAGCAGTCGCCTGATCACTGTCAGTGTCACTCTCCCTCGGGGCTCGTGAGATGGGTGTACTATTTGGCAAAAATAAGAAAGAACAAGTGGAGCCTGTGAGGGCCAAAGTGACAGGTGAGTGTTTTGTATAAATGATTGGCTCCTCTTTAATGTTTAGATGTATGCTTTTTTTTTCTTGCTTATTATGAGTTATTTCTGAAAAACAGTATCTGGGAGAAAACGACCCATAATCCAGACACATTCTCTATGACAATCTAGGTGTGCTTTTATATATTATAGCTCAGTTTCCAAGGAGAGGATAACTGTCCTCACTATTTCCAGGAGAAAAGTGCCGGGAATGCTGCATCTGGCATATATACAACGGGATTATTCTGCAAGATGTGGCCCATCCCAACTGGGTGCTGTATTTGTGCAAATGTGTGTACCCTGTATTAATTTCAAAGTGGTGCGAGAAGTGGGGTGAGTTCCCACTCCTGCATGTGCTTACCAGAGGGCATGGAGAACCTGATGTGATGTCCTCTCAGATACCACAGGGGTGGTTTGGGCATGGAGTGCCTGCAGGGCCAAAAGACCCATTCCTTGTGTCTCTTTTATTGCTCTGGCTTTCTCCTCTTCTGCATTGCAGCTTGACTTTCTGGTATTGTTTTGTTTAGATTCTACATGCAGGCTAATGATTGGGTCTGAACTCTCGGGTCCCCAGCTGGTTGCTTGCTCTGTGTTCTGAGAATAGCATGTGGAGCAGCTCAGGCTCACGGGCAGGTTCATCTCTGGCTGTTTTTCAAGAGGAGAGGAAACAGTGAGAGTTCTTTATGAGGAAGGTCAGATTGGAGCTTTTCAGCTGAGAATTTGCCTTGGAAATTGCATAGTGCTCAGTAAATTTTATTCCTATTGTGTGTCTATGACATTAACCCTATACTCCAATTCACCTCTCACCTGCTCGTTCTCCTGTGTCCTGGGTCTCTGTGAATAGTCCCCCCAAGGGGACTTAGTTTCCCAAGGCAAGAGACTTGTCTGGCTTTTTTTTTTTTTTTTTTTTAAATATTCTCCTCTCCTTTCTTCTATATTTAGTCCAATCCTATCAGTTCTGTCATCCAAGTCTCTTTGCTGTCTGTACTCCATTCCACAGCCAGAGACAACTTTCAAAATCCCAAATCTGAATATATTTCATTGATATGAGATGTTCAGAAGAAGCAGATCCTAAAAGACAGCAAGTAGATCAGTGGCTGCCCAGGGACTGGGGCTGGGAAATGGGAATGATTAACGGGTGGGTACAGAGCTTCTTTTGGGGGTGATGGAAATATTCTGGAATTAGATAGTGGTGGTGGTTGCACAATATTGGAAATAAACTAAAAACCCCTGAATTATACACATTAAAATGGTGGATCTTATGCTGTGTGAATTTGATGAATAAAAAAAGAAATTGCCCCCATCAGCAGACAAGTGGATTAGAAAACTGGTATATCTACACAATGGAATTCTACTCTGCTGTAGAAAAGAAGGAATTCTTAACATTTGCAACAGCATGGAAGGAACTAGAAAGCATTATGCCTAGCAAAATATGCCAGTCAAAGAAAGATAACTATCATGATGTCACTTATTTGTGGAATATAATGAAAACATAAACTGATGAACAAAAATAGAGCCAGAGACATAGAAGAATTGAATAGACTGTCCAACCTATGAGGAAAGGCGGGGGTCAGTGAGGAGGTAAGACATCAACCAAAGGACTTGTATGCATGTATATGAGCAAAACCAATTGACACAGATATTAGGGGGGTGAGGTCTTGTGCTTGGGGATGGGGGTGACAGGGGAGAGGTCAATGGGGAAAAAGGAGACTCATGTAATACTTTAAGCAATAAAGAATTTTAAAAAAAAAATTGCAGCCCAGCCAGCATGCCTCAGTGGTTGAGTGGCGACCTGTGAATCAGAAGGTCAGGGTTCGATTCCAGGCTGGCAGTGCCCAGGTTGCGGGCTCAATCCCCAATGGGTGGTGTGCACAAGGCAAAGTGATCCATGTTTCTCTCTCATCTGTGTTTCCAACTCTCAATCCCTCTCCCTTCCTCTCTTTCTTCTTTTTTTTTAAATAAATTTTTATTGTTCATATTATTACAAATGTTCCTTTCCCCCCCCCAACCATTGCTCTCCTCCACCAGGTTCCCACCCCACCCTCTGCCCTTTCCCCACTCCCCATTGTCCTCATCCATAGGTGCACAGATTATGTTCAGTCTCTTCCCACATCTCCCTCTCCCCTTTTCCCCAAGAATCATCAGTTCACTCCCCTTTCATACCTCTGATTCTATTTTTTTAATTTATATTTTATTGATTTTGTACAGAAAGGAAGGGAGAGAGATAGAGAGCTAGAAACATCGATGAGAGTCATCGATCAGCTGCCTCTTGCACACCCCCTACTGGGGATATGCCCGCAACCAAGGTACATGCCCTTGACCGGAATCGAACCCGGGACCCTTCAGTCCCCAAGCCGACACTCTATCCATTGAGCCAAACCAGTTCCAGCTCTGATTCTATTATATTCAACAGTTAATATTGTTCATCAGATTTTTTTTTAATTTCCTTGGTTTTTAGATTCACTTGTTGACAGTTACGTATTTGTTGTTCATAATTTTTTACCTTTATTTACTTTCTCTTCTGAAAGAACCCCCTTCAGCAATTCATATAATTCTGGTTTTGTGTTGATGAACTCCTTTAGCTTTTTTTTTTATTAGTGAAGCTCTTTATCTGACCTTCGATTCTGAGTAATAGCTTTGCTGGATAGATTATCTTTGGCTGTAGGTTCGTACTATTCATCACCTTGAATATTTCTTGCTATTCCCGTCTGGCCTGCATGGTTTCTGTTGAGAAATCAGCTGACAATCGTATAGGTGCTCCTTTATAGGTAACTACCTGCTTTGCTCTTGCTGCTTTTAATAGTCTCTCTTTGTCTTTTGCTCTTGGAATTTTAATTATGATTTGTCTTGGTGTGGTCCTCTTTGGATTCCTCTTGTTTGGAGTTCTGTGCACTTCCTGGACTTATAAGTCTAATTCTTTCACCAGGTGGGGGAAGTTTTCTGTCACTATTTCTTTCAATATGTTTTCGATATCTTGCTCTCATCTTCTGGGACCCCCATAATTCTGATGTTGGTTCGCTTGAAGTTGTCCCAGAGGTTTCTTACATTATCTTCAATTTTCTGGATTCTCTTGCCTTCTAGCTTCTGTGGAGGAGTGTCTTCTGGCTCTTTATGTTCCAAATCTTTGACTTGATTCTTGCGATCTTCCATTCTGTTTTTAGGACTCTGTATAATATTTTTTTTTCAGACAATGTATTCTTTATTTCTTATTGATCCCTTATCATTTCTTGTTGATTCCTTATTAATTCTAGTTGATCTCTTTTCATATCCTCATAGGTCTTATCGATCTTTTCTAGGAAATTCTTGAAAAACCTTATAAGCGTAGATTTGAACTCTATATCCAGTCGTTTTTTGTCCTCCATTTCTTTCATTTGTGATCTATTTCGTTGTCGCATTTCACAGCTACAGATGGGGCGGAGTTTCAGGGTGAAGCCTACAGCCTTGGCTTCCGTCAGCCCCGCCCTATGCGGCTCCTGGGTCTCAGGGTCCTTCAGTACTTGCTGCAAGTGCCTCTGAGAGAAAGGTGCCCTCGATTTTCGCCTGCTACCAAACAGTCTAGGCTCTCCCCCAGTTCAATTGGAAGTGGGATTGGAGGTGGCGTTCAGAGCAGTCTGGAGCCCCTGTCTCCTTCCCGCCAGTGCAATTTGGCGGCACAGCCAACTGTCCCTTCTCTGCGCGCAATGTGCGCCCCACTGGGACCTCCTTTTGCCGCTCCCCCGGGGTTCCGCCTTACAGCCCAGCTCCCTCTGTTTGAGCCTGGGTCCCTGGGGTCTGGCCTAGAAATGGGGTTCAGAGCAGTCGGAACTGGGGCCCAACACAGTCAGAGCTTTTATCTCCTTCTCCTTCCCACTAGGGAATGCCAGCCAGGCACTCAGCTGCCCTCTCTCCGGCTCCATCTTCTCCGGGCATGCAGTGTGTCCCCGTACCTTTGGCTTTTACAGCTCCTCCGCGCTTCCTTCTGGTTTTCTCCTGGCTTCTCGTTGTAGAATTTCCAGTCAGTCGACTTTCCTGTAGTTCTGGGTAATATCCATTTTATATTTTAGTTGTATTTTATTGAAATTGTTGTGTGCAGCTGCGGCTAGGTGTTTACCTGGGCAGCCATCTTGGAGTCTCTCTCCCTCTCTTTCTAAGACAATAAAAACATGTATTTTTTGTAATTGCAAAAAAAAAAAAAATAAATAAATAAAATAAAAAAAATCTGATCCTGCTCTGGCCAATGTGGCTCAGTTGATTGGGCCATCGTCCTGAACACCCAAAGGTTGCAAGTTTGATCCCTGGTTGGGGTGCACATGGAAAGCAACCAATTGATGTTCTCTCTCACATCAATGTTTGTTTTACTCTCTTTCTCCACCTCCCTTTCTCTCTAAAATCTAAAATCTTCGGGTAAGGATTAAAAAAAAAAGCCTGATCCTATTGTTCCTTATTATAACTGTCAATAGTGTCCCATTCTTCTGAACATAAAATCAAAGCCCTTGGAGTATGGTGTTGTTGATCTTTGTCACTTGGCCCCTACTTACCTCTCTAACCTCAATACTTGTGATGTTCTCACTCAAACATTACAGCAATATCTCACTCAATAGCTGGTACATCTCCAGGTCTTTGGACTCGTCTTTGACCTCCTGGTTTGGGTTCTTCCAGAGATAAGCATTCAGGTGTAAGTAGTTGATTCCAAGAAATACTGGGAGGGAAGCCAAAAAAAAAAAAGGAGCTGGATCCTCTTTGGGAACTATTTTCCAGGGACACTGACCTCTGGGAACTATTGGAGCTGAATCCTCTGGGCATAATATAACTCTTGCCTCACATTGTCCCAGCTCAGGCCAAGGAAATGATGGCATTTGACCCCCAATCTCCACCCATTGATGCATGAGAACTGCCTCCAGGGACATTAGTTCTCCAAGGTGCTTCCAGCTTGTCTAGCACACAAGCAGAGCAGCTCCCTGGATGAGAACAAAGCTCTCAAGGGAGGTGGGTAGGGACCAACATCATCTGCTACAACACTCTCTCTTTGGAGCAGTGCTGTCCAATAGAAATATAATGCATGCCACATGTGCAATTTTAAATTTAATAATATCCACATTCAGAATAGTAAAAAGAAACAGGTGAAATTAATTTTAGTAGTATATTTTATTTTACACACCAAACATATCCAAAATATGACCAGTTTGACATGTAATCAATATTTTAAAAATTGCTAATGCACTATTTTATATTTTTTCATAGTCCCTGAACCCGGTGTATATTTTATACTTAACAGCACATTTCAGTTTGGACTAGCCACATTTTAAGTGTTTAATCACCAAATGGGGCTGGAGGCTACCACACTGGATTTCACAGCTCTAAAATGTTATTTCCTCAGGCCTACTTTCCCTCAAGTCTCATCCAAGTTGCTTCCCCTAGGATGCAGCCCTCACTCTACTGCACTACCCTCACCCTCTGGCTGAATCTTGCATTGCCTTTAGCACAGTTTATTTGGACTGTCTGTTCATTCTCCTGCCTCTGTCTCTCAATGAATGGAGATCAACTTAAGGACATGGGCGATGCCCACTCATCTTGGTATCCTCAGAGCTGGCACCACATCTGGCAAATGATATACTTTCTGGAAATGACTGCTAGGTAAATGTATGGATGTAGTGAGTGGTATGGCCTCAGTTCCTTTCCGTGGCCATTTCTCCTAGCTCTTTGGTTTAGACACGAAAACTGGAAACTAAACATCCTTTCTCTTAACAGGCAAGATTCCAACTTGGATACGGGGAACACTGCTTCGAAATGGGCCTGGGATGCACACTGTGGGAGAGACCAGCTACAACCATTGGTTTGATGGCCTCGCCTTGCTCCACAGCTTCACAATTAGAGATGGTAAAAGCACTATATTAGTTTTCTATATACTTTAACAAACGGCCATGAATTTATTAGCTTCAAATAATACAAAGTAATTATTTTTTATAGTTTTGGAAGTTGGGAGTCTAAAATGGGTTTCACTGGGCTAAAATCAAGGTGTTGGCAGGGCTACATTTTTTCAGGGATAAAGGAGATAATCAATTTTCTTAACTTATCCAGCTTCAGAAGCTACCAGCATTCCTTGGCTTGTAGCCCCATCTCCCTCTTCAAAGCCAGCTCTCTCTCTCTCTCTCTCTCTCTCTCTCTCTCTCTCTCTCTCTCTCTCTCTTTTTAAAAAAATATATTTTATTGATTTTTTACAGAGAGGAAGGGAGAGAGATAGAGAGCTAGAAATGTCGATGAGAGAGAAACATTGACCAGCTGCCTCTTGCACACCCCCTACCGGGGATGTGCCAGCAACCAAGGTACATGCCCTTGACTGGAATCAAACCCGGGACCCTTCAGTCCGCAGGCCGATGCTCTATCCACTGAGCCAAATCAGTCCCCAGCCACTCTAACCTTCTTATCTCCCTTTTATAAAGACTTTTGTGATGACATTGAGCACATCAGATAATCCAGGATCATCCTCCCTCTCAAGATCCTTACCTTAGTTATACATATGCAGTCTCTTTTGCCCTGTCAGGTAACATATTCACAGTTCCAGGGACTAGGACATGGACATCTTGGGGAGGTGATTATTCAGTCCACCATAATCATAAACCTCCCTGGAAAGTGGCCAAAGTTCTTTTTTCAAAGAGTTCAACTTGCAAACTACGTAATATGTATTCTCAATAAGTTGGGCAACCACAGGCAAAAGATTACAGGTTTTGGAATCAAACATGTATCAAATCAAAATAGGGGAGTAACAGAGCTGAAAGGATCAAAGTCAAATGCTCAGGAAAGCCATGTCACTCAAGTAATACATTCAGTAACTCTCTCTGAGTGGACGCAGAATATAGGGCAGAAAATAGAGAGTGCCACAGATAAGGCAAATTTCTGAGTTCAGGATACTGGCTCAAGAAGTGGATTATAATCCTGACTGGTTGGCATACAGCATCCACCCACAGACTACAGGGTCCTGGGTTCAATTCCTATAAGGGCACATACCTCAGTTTCAGGCTTGATCCATCCCCTGCCCTGGTTGGAGAGCGTGTGTGGAGGCAACCAATCAATGTGTCTCTCTCACATCCATGTTTCTCTCTCTCTGTTTCTTCTTCTCCCACTCTCTTAAAAATCAATGGGAAAATATCCTCAGGTGAGGATTAACAACAATAAAAAGTGGAATGTGAACTCTTTGCTATTGGCCACTGGCTGGTTTATGTCACAGCAGCATGAGCTGAGTTCTTCAAGAGGTCCAGGATGGCTTGCATGAGGCTTTAACAGGCTCAGGGGCACATGGTGGGGAAATTCATGTTCAAGAACTTCAGCTTGGTGACCTTTTTTTTTTTTTTTTTTTTTTTTTTTTTAACCCTGTGTCTTAGCCTGGACAATAATCTGTGGTCACTCACCTCCCTTGGCCTCATCAGTGAAAAGAGCATAATCATCCTCTCTGGAGAATTGTTGTGATGCTTAGAAGTATAGATGATTAACAAGAGCCTGACACCTGGGAGACGCTCAGTAGATTAAAAACCATCAGCACTATTTCTGGGTTTGAATCCCAGCTCCACCATCCTAACTTACATGCACCTATGTTGTGTGACCTTGGCCAACTTACTGACCCTCTCTGTGTCTCAGTCTCCCATCAGCAAAATGGAGATATAGCAGTAGCATATTTTATAGACTTGCTGTGGAATTTAAAGGCATTAATATGTGTAAGGAGCTTTGTATAATGTCCAGCATATAATATGTGCTCAATAAGCATTAACAATTATTTTTGCATAACTATTATTTCTTCCAAGCCAGTCAGCAATTATTGACTCTATGCCAGCAACTTGCTCAAACATTTCAGGAATGGAGATACTATGTGTGAAAACCATGAGGTCTGTTTGCAAAAACTTAGACATTATGCTCAGACTCGGCTGCAGAGAGGGTGGCTCCATATTTCCTGATAGCTCCAAGCTCTAACAATCTCCTCCTTTTTTGGACAGAAGTCACCAATGATTCCAGGGGAAATAAATGCTGTGCTGGATGAGGTGCATAAAAGGCGGCTTCCTTTCTGTGAGGCTCTGCCTCACCAGACTGACAGGTCCTCTGTGGCCATATGTAGTGCTCATGTTGATGCTGTAAGAGGTGTTCTGACCCCCTCTTTGCAGGTGTAGAAATGGAAACTTTAGAGAGACTCAGTGACTTTTCCAAGGTCAGGCTTGTGTTGTCTGGAATTTAGTTTGCAGCTCTCTCTCTCTCTCTCTCTCTCTCTCTCTCTCTCTCTCTCTCTCTCTCTCTCTCACACACACACACACACACACACACACACACACACACCTACCCCCCCACACACACATCTCTACCTGAGAAATAGCAGATTGCTCAAGTGGCCCCCTCACAGCTTACCAAGCAGTAGCTCTGGCATCCTTCCATAGAGACACCCTCCCCCTCCTCCTCCCCTTCCAGAGACAAGGGAACCAGCAGAGAGTGGCCGAGCCATGGCTAGCTTATGGAAGTATGGGATAAATAGGAGGCAAATGACCAAAGTTATCCCATGCTATTTATAATTTCTAAAAGCTTCTAGTAGGTTTTCAAACTAAAAATTCATCGTCAAAGGTAAGAAGTTATTTGGTATCCTTTTATGAGATGGCCAGACAGGTGTGACTACAAGAGGAGACACAGAGAGGCTCAGGAAATAAAGGTGATTTTACTTACAGGCACAGTACATCATGCAAGGCCACAAGGGAAAACACCAGGGTGGCCAAGAGGCAGAAGACAGGACAGGGCATATGCTTAGGCCACAGCCTTTATTGAAAGACAGGAGGCTCTATATGACTCAAAACCTATATATATATATATATATATATATATATATATATATATATATATAGTCATTTTCCTCCCCCCAAACCAGACCTTATTCTAGAAGATTCCAAGCAGGAGACTGTTTACTTGTGTTCCTTTAAAAGGAATGTGGCTAATTGGACTCTTCCAGGAGCGGGGTTGGGTGTGTGTGTGTGTGTGGGGGGGGGGGGGCGGGCGGGGAGAGGGTGACTCCTTCTTTAATGTCAGCCTTGAGCAATCCCAGAGACACATTTTCCTGTTGTCCCAAGTGCTCTATGCTCTGGGGCTGGTTGTGTACAAGAAATGGGCTGCCTGGGTTGGGTGTTTACATTTTAAGCAAACAGATTTCAACATTTTGAGTAAAGCACCACAAGGCCCAAAGCACCTTAGCCAGTGCCTGTGGGTGGTGACTCTCAGAGAGAGGCCAGGAAAGAACAGGCCAGCTCAAGGGGAGACCAGGATGTTCCTAGAGCAGGGTCTGTATAGCATTTGGTTGAAGATCAGTGTGTGTAGCCTCACCAAGCCCTACCTGATCCTTCTGCCTCCAGGATTTTGTTGGACAATCCAGAATTTCAGCAGCCATCAGTTATCAATATGTGACATTGGCCCAAAATCTTGCCTACTCTGCTCTGCATCTCAATAGCATAGGTAGCTTTTATTGAGCACCTACTGTATGCCAAGTGCTATACAGGCCTTAAATGCCACAGTAATTCTGTGAGAAATGTATTATGATCCTCATGTCACAGTGAAGGGAACTAAGCCAGCATATGACACAAGGTCAAGTGCATGGCTGGTAGATGATGGAGCAAGGATTCATATCCATGTGGAGACTTGAATCTCCTCAGGGGTAAAGCTCATGCCTGTCCTGCTCACCCTAATATCCCTCAGTAAAACCCCTGGAATGGCTGAAATCGATGTGAAGACCCATTGAAGGTGTCAGCCTGCAATGATTCTGCTTCTTCTCTTTCAGGCGAAGTCTATTACAGGAGCAGATACCTGAGAAGTGACACCTACAATGCCAATATGGAGGCAAACAGGATTGTGGTATCAGAGTTTGGAACAATGGCCTATCCAGACCCCAGCAAAAACATATTTTCCAAGTAACTGTCCATTTTGAATCAGGTCATGCTTTCTGATATTCTTGATGGTCAAAACAACCAGTGTTTGCTGGTCTGACAATGGTCTTTAGGGGAGATGAAAGTGTCACATGACTGGCCTTGGCCTATCTTTGCTATGCCATTTTCGGTCACTGACAGCAAGAGAAGCAAAGAGCATCATTATTAAGTATTCTCCCACATGACTGGTGGGAGGGCAATTTGGAAGTATCTATCAGAATTGCAAATGCACATTCCCTTCAGTCCAGAGGCAAACTTGTTCCTGCTGAAATGACAAACGTACAAGGTTAATCATGGCTGCATTAACTTGTTATGATGAGGAATTAAAAATAACTCAAATGTTCATCAACAGAGGAATGGTTAGATGGTAACAGTAAAACTACAAAAAAAAAAAAAAAAAAAAAAGAAAGAAAGAAAAGTACCAGGTAGAAGTAAAAAAGAGGATATTTTTGATGTACAGAATGGGAGGATTTCTAAGATATATTAAATTTAAAAAGATAAAGATATATAAATAGCAAATAAGTCCTGGCCAGGTAGTTTGTTTGATTAGAGCGTCATTCAGTATTCTAAGGTTGTGGGTTTGATCCCCGGTCAGGGCACATATAAGAATCAACCAATGAATGCATAAATAAGTGGAACCACAAATTGATGTTTTTTTTTCCTCTCTCCCCTTCCTCCTTCTTCCCTCTCTTCCTTTCTCTGAAATCAATAAATAAAAATTTAAAGAGCAAATAATATGCTATATTTGTGTAAAAAGGCAGGAAGAAATATAGATTTGTTTTTGCTTGTACATGCAAAAAGAAACTGGAAAGATGCATAAAAGAGGTAGTAAACTGGAAAATGGAAGAAAAGGATAGAAGATCTTTAGTTGTATATATTTTAAATCATTTGAGTTATAATGCATATGAATGTATTACATATTTAACAATTAAATTAAATTCTTGGCCACGGAATCGGGCTTGCTGTCAGTATCCCTTCCTCTTTATATATACAAGAATTATGAAATGTGTTAGGGGTTGAGGGGCCCAGAGATGGATGATTGCTTCTGCTTTTCCAGAATTGCTCAAAACTCACATTTGCAGTGGGGGGAAGAGGAAGCAAAGAAAAGGGGAGGTGGTAGGCAGGGGGGTAGGGGGATGGGAGGGAAATGAATATAAAACCACCTTTGGAGCATCCTTGCTGTTATATTACTTGCCAGTAGAGGGAGCACTAACCAATACAGGAATCCAAGATCCTTTTTTCCTTCTTTGGGTTTGCCTTTTGGTGGGGTTTTTTTGTTTGTTTTTGTTTTTTAAATTTATTGGGATGATGTTGATGAATAAAAGTATATGTTTCAGGTATACAATTCTATAATACATCATCTGTATGTAGTATGTTTATCACCCCAAGTCAAGTCTCTATCCCCTTAACTTTCTATCTCCTTAACGTTCTTGAATTTTCCTTTCTGACCAAATTAGTTATGGGTTCTTAACTTAAAGTTAGTTTGCTTTATTTAAAACAAACAAACAAACAACAAACAAACAAACAAATTCATTTCCTGGACAAATTTGAGGTAACCGGTGTGGACTCAACATTCCTGCCAAAAGATTAGTTGTTTTGCTAGTTTTTAGGAACCATTATGGGTACATGTATGGCTTCTATAGAACTTCTTTAAAATCTTCAGAATAACCCCCTAGTTCTTTCTGGCTTTGGTGCGGAAGACCTTTGGATTTTTGAGAGCCCAGGGCTCAGTTGGTGGCCATGTTGTCCAGCTGATTGTCATTCCTTAGTTTATTCATTATGGTAGTACCTTTGGTCACTTGATATCTGAGTCCTCTAATGACATTTTGGGACCCAGCACTTTTTCTTCCTTAAGTTGAAGTAGTACATTTTAAATGTTAGGAAAACTAAAACCATTTCAAGCAGAATTTTCCAGCTGGGTAGACCCAGCCATTGACCCATAGATTTGCTTTTTTCCCCCAGAGCTTTTACCTACTTGTCCCAGACCATCCCAGAATTCACAGACAACTGCCTGATTAACTTCATGAAGTGTGGAGAAGACTTCTATGCGATCACGGAGACCAATTTCATCAGGAAAATCAACCCACAGACTCTGGAAACTCTGGAAAAGGTATCAGTGAATTTATAATCATCATCAGTTTTTTACTCAAGACAGGAACCCCTTAAGGGAAGGCCATGTGGCCTGCAGGAACTCATTGCACTTACACTAGGTTCTAAGCTCCTTTAGGGCTGGGACTGAGTTTTTTCATTTTTGTGACTGTTTTCATTCCTAGGGCTATCATAGCAAGCACCACAAACAGGGTGGCTTACAACAATAGAAATTTGATCTCTCACAGTTCTGAGGGCTGAGAGTCTGAAATCAAGGTATCATAGGGCCATGTTCTCTCTGAAGGAGAACAGTGTTCTCTAGGGGAATATCATTCCTTGCCTCTTCCACTTCCTGGTGGTTGCCACCCATCCCTGGTGTTCCTTTACTAATAGATAGGATGCATCACCCCAGTCCCTTCTAAGGATATAGATCATTGGATAAAGGCCACCTGATCTAGCATGACTTCATTTTAACTTGATTACATCTACAAAGACCCCATTTCTAAAAATAGGTACCAGGAATTAGGGCTTCAACGTATCTTTTTGGAAGACCACAACTCAACTTTTAGTAGAGTCCAAAATTCTTGGCTCTGAGTGGTAGCTCAATGAGTGTCTAAGTGAATGGCTATGCTGGACCTCCCATGATTCACAGTGGCCCTACCTCGTATTGACCTGAAGAGGGAGGCATTAGGCAGAGAGCAAGAGTACAAAAATAAATGCCCAAGCAGATACCTTTCCTGGGCAGAATCAAGTCAACATTTTTGTCATGTGGAGAAGACTTCTATGCGATCACGGAGACCAATTTCATCAGGAAAATCAACCCACAGACTCTGGAAACTCTGGAAAAGGTATCAGTGAATTTATAATCATCATCAGTTTTTTACTCAAGACAGGAACCCCTTAAGGGAAGGCCATGTGGCCTGCAGGAACTCATTGCACTTACACTAGGTTCTAAGCTCCTTTAGGGCTGGGACTGAGTTTTTTCATTTTTGTGACTGTTTTCATTCCTAGGGCTATCATAGCAAGCACCACAAACAGGGTGGCTTACAACAATAGAAATTTGATCTCTCACAGTTCAAATAGACCCACTTTCAATTTTTTTTTCCAGCTGGCCGTTCTAAGCCTTGATGACTTCACCATACATTTTAATGATCTGTTAAAAGGAGTGCTTTTTTTAGCTGTGAAATTATATCCAGCTCTTTTTAAGCTAGGTGGCTTAGGTCTAACTGATATACAAGTTGCACAAAGTAGCTTGGGGGCTGTGCTGTTGCTGTATAAGGAAGGGCTTATAGCAGGTTCCCAGGCCATTGCATTGTTCTACAGTTGTGGCTTGTTCAAAGTGGGCCATTATTGAGCTTGCTAGTTGAATTTTACTTTGATCAAAAAAATTTTTTGTCTTATGTGTGTATTTTTTGTTACTCCTCACCCAAGGATATTTTTTCCATTGATTTTTAGAGAGAACGAGTGGGAAGGGGAAGAAGGGAGGAAGGGAAGGAGGGAGTAAGGGAGGGAGGGAGGGAGGGAGGGAGGGAGGGAGGGAGGGAGGGAGGGAGGGAGGGAGGGAGAAAAAGAGAGAGAGAGAGAGAGAGAGAGAGAGAGAGAGAGAGAGAGAGAGAGAGAGAGAGGAGAGAGAGAGGAGACACACACATGGATTGGTTGTCTCCTGCCACCCTTTGATACACAAATTGACACTCATCACTTCGCCACACTGGCCATGGCTGAACAAATGTTTTTGTAACCTCTCCATTCCCAAAATAATCAAATAATCCTATGAGAGAGAGGCCTGGAGATTTCTGCCTCTGTGGAATGCAAAAGGAGATGGTTTAAATGACTTCAGCAGAATGACAGAGAGCAGTGGCCAAAATTAGCACTATGGCTGCCTCTCTGCACAGGTCAATGCTTAGAGCTCTCTGTGGTGAGGTGTCCTGTATTCATTCTGAGGACCCCCGACAGGGCCAGGAAACAGGATCTGAAAAACTGCCACAGAAAATGCACAGCTTACTAATCCCCTGCAACTTATTTGCTGTAGAGCCCCCCATGAGGTTATTATCAGTTCACAAGAATAAACCTTCTCTTGAAAAGTGAAGTCTGCCTTCTTTTCAGATCAGACAATGTGCAGAAATAGCCTTCACCTCTTTGACCCTAGAATCAGTCAGCTATTCATAGGATTTTAACTTCTCTCCTTTTTAAAGCCAGGTGCCTGTCATATTTTTTCAGGTTGATTATCATAAATATGTGACTATACATCTGGCAACAGCACATCCTCATTATGATTCGGCTGGAAATGTTCTCAACATAGGCATATCCATTGTGGACAAGGGAAAGACAAAATATGTGATCTTTAAGATCCCCGCCAAAGTACCAGGTAGGTCGTCCTGGGAATACAAGAAGTACGGACAGCAGGTGACTCTCTCTGAAGAATTCCGACTTTTGTTCATGACACAGACTCAATCTGACACTCTCCCTCCCAGACGGTCCAGATGACCATGAGCTCATTTCCCTTCCTTAGGAGAAAAGAGATGTTGCTGGGCTTCCCATCCATCCACCCATTCGTCATCCACACATCCATCCATATATTTCTCATCTGCACATTTCCCTTTCTTTCCTCTCTCCCTCCCTTCCTTCCTTACATTTTTTCAGTCTTCTGACCAACTTTTGTATGTCAGGGCTGTGCCACCCACTTTCATGCCAGTCCCTGAAGCCAGGTTCCCAGAATTGTTCAGGGAGCTCAGCCCTGCTGGGATCAACTCCAGTTCCCCACCCTGATCTGCAGGCCTTCTGGACCTTCTCCACTTAGCACAGGGATCCTGGAGGGAAGCCCAGGCCAATTGCGATTACATCTTCCTGAGGGGGAGGAAGGTGGGGCTCATGGCCTTATTTTGTCCAGGACCCTCCTTGGCACCTCAGCCAGGAGACCAGGCCTCCCATGGTAGCTGGAGATAGGGCAGAACTATAAGGGTTCCTCCTGGTTTAGGAAAATTGGTTTCTATCTGTGCTCCCTGCTGCTCCCCTGCCCCACAGTCCTGTAGGACCTCCTAAGCGAGCTACCAGGCTCTGCTGGCAGAGGTGAGCAAGCCCCTGAAGTCAGAAGGTACTATGAGTATTCTTGTTAAATGGAACTTCTATTAATTAAACCAAGAAAGGGATCTAGGGTCTAGCTTAGAATCCTAGAATGTAAGACGTGGGGATGGTCTAGGCATTTGAGTTTACCACCTCATATTACAGAGGAGTGAGGCCCAGGGGATCAGGTGACATGCCCATGGTCACAGCTTACAGCAACGTCATGCAAGCAGCTCCTCTGAGCGCCTGCTCCCTGCTGGTGGCTTACCCTAGGATCACGCCCATCTCCTGCCTGCCAGGCCAGGGTGCTTTTCATTTCGGTTAGCTTTGTGCTTCATTTGTTTTGTGTAAAAAAGAATGAACCCACAACCCACAGCCTCCCTCCCACCAGCCAGCTGTTCACAAAGTGCACAGGTGGCCACCAGGAAGGGAGAGACGCTTGTAGGTAGCTCATTAGAAACCAGCCCCAGGCCTGGGAGGGGAGTCCTTTTGGCCAGTGGGTGACTCACGCTTGCAGAAGAATAAGAAAACTGAACACGCACTGAGCACCTTCCGTGTTTGGGCACTGGGAGAGGTACTTGGACTACTCCATTATCTCACTTTTCTCTTCCTTCATGCTGTGAATGTTATGAGCCCTAACACATAGCAGAGGAGGGAGCCAGGCTAAAGGGCTGTCTTCTTGGCTTACCGTGTAACTTTGGCCATAATGATATAGATCATTCCACCAAGTCTTGGGCTCCCATCTGTAAAATGCAGCCTACCTTGGTGATCACAATATATGTAAAAGCCCCTCGTCACCATCGGTACTTATTCTCTCCCAAGTGTTTCAGAATGGGCAATGGCAAGAGAAATTCATGAAACCCTCTGAAATACATGTCTGTATTAGAAAAACTCCAGTTTCCCTACCTTTGTATCTCCTTCACTTTGACACTCCACTCCACTCACAACACTTCTGACCCTGGCTGGGGGTGAGGGGTTCCCCACACCAAGAAGTTCTCTGTGATGCCCGCTGGTGTCCTGTGATTTATATTTCACTCAATCCTAAGGCTATCTACTTGATCATGACAACCCCATAGGTTAAGGGCTCAGTCCCACAAGACTGCTTCTACCCCACTTCAGATGCCAATCAAGTAGTAGGTCCCCAGATTATCCACAGCTTCTGTCCGACTTGGCTACAAATCAAGGGTTCTCCCCTCCGTGCTCCCCCGTCCCCCCTGGTTTCAATTAATTTGCTAGAGCATCTCATAAAACTCAGGGAAACACGTTTGCCATTTTGTTAAAGGCCACAATAGAGTATACACATGAATATACAGATGAAGAGATGCAGAGGGTAGGGCCTGGGAGGTTCTGGGGCTCAGGAATGCCTGTCTCATGGAGTTGGGGTGCTTCGGGCTCCCAGTGTGCATGTGTTTGCCTATCTGTAAGCTCTTTGAACCCCATGCTGTTAGGGTTTTATAGATGCTTTCTTAGGTAGGCATGATGGATGCCTCTCTCTCTTCTCTGGAGGATGAGGGATGCAGTTCAAAAAATTCCAAGCTGTAATTATGACTTGGTCTTTCTGGGGACCAGCCCCCATCCCGGAGCCCACCCAGAGTCACCTCAAAAGGTGCTCCTCGTGCTCTTATCACTTGGGAGTTTACACAGCTTTCAGGAGGCCTGGGTCACGGACGGGGTCAAAGACCAAGCATTAGAATAAGAGATGTTCCTCTTGCTATGCAGGTTTTAGGAGCCCCGTGCCAGGGTCTGGGGGCAGACGCCAAAATATATATTTTTCTATTAATTCACAATGTCAAATGAGGTTCCTCAGCAAAATATCCAAGCACTTGCCAGGGAGCTGGCCCCTCCCCTGGGCCAGCTTGATGGAGCCTCAGGCCCAGCCCGCCTGCTGAGCCAAACTCCACGTTTCATCACGCACTTCAGCCGAACCATATGCACATGAGAGTTTAAGTGAATTGCTCCAGAACAGGGGCTGACAAACCTTTTCTGTGCATATTCAGGAGAGTCAATATTTGAGGCTTTGCAGACATGTAGTCTCTGTTGCAAGTACTCAATAACGCTGCTGTGGCTCAAAAGCAAAAGCAGCCGTGGCCCCTGCATAGAGGAGGAAGCATGCTGGGTTTCGAATAAACCTACATCCAAAAGCAGGTGGAGCCGGGTTAAACCTCAGGTTGTGGTTGTGGAACCCTGGCCCAGAGGTCTGACTGTGGTTCACTGTCTTCAGATTGCAGAAGCAGGTCTCAGAGTGGGGTGGGCCTGTGCCCCGCATCAGCGAGGCAGCACCCCTTCACCTGCTTTCCTCGCTTTGAGGAGCTCTGCTACAGGTGATGGTGCTGTGGTCCGGGCAGCCGGGCTCTGCTTTGCGCCTGAGGCTTGCTTTTCTCCAGACAGGACGAAGAGGACGAACCCCCTGCAGCACACGGAGGTCATCTGCTCCATCCCCTCCCGCTCCCTCTTCTCCCCAAGCTACTGCCACAGCTTCGGTGTCACTGAGAACTACATCATTTTTCTTGAGCAGCCCTTCAAGCTGGATATTCTCAAGATGGCAACTGCGTACATCCGGGGAGTGAGCTGGGCTTCTTGCCTGGCTTTCCACGGGGAGGACAAGGTAAGCCCTGGCTGAGCCTGAGGACACGCAGCATGAGGACGGCCAGAGCGAGGTGTCCCTGGACACTGAGATGAAGGTCAGCTCGAAGGCGGCTTCTTTTTTTTTTTTTTTTTTTAACACATTTTATTTTATTTTATTTTATTTTTAAAAAATATATTTTATTCATTTTTTACAGAGAGGAAGGGAGAGAGATGAGAGTTAGAAACGTCGTCGATGAGAGAGAAACATCGACCAGCTGCCTCTTGCACACCCCTTACTGGGGATGTGCCCGCAACCCAGGTACATGCCCTTGTCCGGAATCAAACCTGGGACCTTTCAGTTCACAGACCGATGCTCTACCACTGAGCCAAACCGGTTTCGGCGGAGGAGTCTTCTTAGAAAAGAAAGAAGTAAGCCATCGTATAGCATTTCCGGGGGGCATCAGCCAACCTTCCAGAGAGTTCTGAACTTAGGGCAGTCCTTCAGAGAGGTCCTGAGTTAGAGCAAGGGTGCCAGGCTTTTATAGCCCCATATCAATAAGTCAGTAGAAAAGACTGTCCTGAAAGGGTGTGTGACCTTGAACAAGGTAGCCTCCTCAACCAAAGCAGTCCCCACTCACCTCAGTCCTAACCAATATCTGGGCTCCTTCAGCCTCCGCTGTCCATTGATAAGGCCTTTTCAGCACCCCTGCAGCTGCTGTGCAATGTCAGGGGAAAGGGGCCATAGATTGTTCAGACATCATAATGACAGGGTTCCACCAGAACAACAGAAACGCCTTCCGGGTAGAGACACCTGGGTGCACAAAGTATGTATATGTGAATGTGTGTGTGTGTGTGTATGTGTGTCCATGTAGGTATGATGTGTATACATGTCTTCACATGTGTATACATGTATAAATGTGTGTATGTCTATATGTATGCATGTACATGTGGTTTTTTGGGGGGTTTTTTGCTGCTGTTACTTGTGAAATATATCAAGTGGTTCCATGTCATTCAAATAATATAGAAGTATAGAAACCAACCTATCAGGCCCCTTCCCACATCGTCCCCACTCCTCCCCCCAACCATTGCCCTTTCCAGAGAGAACTACCATATCTATTTGACATCTTTCTGCTCCTCTTTCCATGCACCACACACATCTTTATGTACATATTCAGATGTGTGTGTCCCCATCTCTTTATGGCCTATAGCTCTTCTTGGGGAAGAGAGTGGGGTGTTCAGAGGAACAAAGGGCTTAGGTGTGGTCCGTCCTCTACTAAGATCTTCCAGTTATTTTCCATATTCTTTGGAGTAAGATCCAAATGCCTCATCTTTGGCCTGTAATGCCCTTCATACCTCATCCCTGCTCACTCCACCTCCTCCTGTATCTCAAACCAGCCACACACATTCTTGCCTCAGCACCTTTGGGTTTTCTATCCCCTGGAATATTCTTCCCCCCATGGCTTCCTCCTGAAAAAAACTACTCCAAGTCTTAGCTCCAGCCCTCTGACCTCAAGGCCTTCCTTGGTGAACTCATCTATAATAGACCCTTCTCCAGGTTTCTCCATCCCTGGGCCTGCTTCACTTTTCTCAGTAGCACTCATCATCAACCCCACCTGACAGAGGATATATTTGATGATGGGCTGCTGGCCTCACTCCAACTGAAATATAAACTGTAGGAAAGCAGGGGCTTGGTTTTATTCTGTCTCTCTAGTTCCTGATAAATTGTCTATAAATATTTGTGGGATGAGTGAGTGAGGCAAGGGGCCGGCAGAGGAGCCAGTTAAATCCCCAGGCACTTCTTGGAAATGGCAGTTAGGCCACATTGTTTACTCATAGGTTGCATCATAGGTAGTCTCTTGAGTGCATTCCATTGTTCTGCCTCTCCATGTCTCTGACTTTCTCCTAGGATGTCAATTAAAAAGGGGCTGAGCTTTTTGTCAACCTGTGTTGACAGTGTTGTCTGCAGTGTCTCTCATTTATGTGTTCACTCTCTTAAAATGCAACTGAAGACTGCTTCCTTAGAGGGTACTCATACCAAAAATAAAAAAATCCTCAAACACCTGAGGAGCATCCCACTGGCAGGAGCTGCAGGGCCCTCTGTGCCTCCACCCTGAGGCCCCCGGGGACCTCCTCGCTCTGGAGGGCAGGCTGAGAGCCCCGGGAGAATTTTGGAATACATTTCTAAGAGAACTTTCTGAAAGACCCAGGGATTGGGATCCTAGGGAAGATAAGGTCTAAAATAGTTACCCCTGTACTCATTCTCCTACTGACTCCCACCACCATGCTATCAAAGCTTTCCTCCTCTGCCCCCTGCCCAACATTTAAAGCTTGGTTCTGAGAAAGGTGAGAGAGAAGCAAACAAGCAGGGAGGAGGTGGTGAAAGATCAGCCCAAAGTGGTCCCTCCCTCCTTTTCAGGAGGAGGGTGATTGGGCCAGAGCTGCCAAAAGATAGAACCACCACCCCCTCCCTTTGGATTAGGCAACTGGGGCTACAGATATGGCTAATTACCACCCAGGGTGACACCGCCTCGTGACACCCAGAGTGTGTGCAGCAGCCTCATGAGCAGATACCCATGTGGGATCCTTAGCTAGAACCAGGTCACTCAACACCTCAGGGGTGTTGCTGTGGCAACCACATCCCTGTAACAGGCTCTGTGGTGCAGGTTGGAGAGGGTACCCAAAAGGGAAGGTGTGGTTTCAGAGTGTTAGGGGCTCTGGCTGTGGATGAAGGCTGGGAAGCCCTGGAGGTCTGGCACCTCACCAGTTCTCTCCAACTCAGCTATTTCCAGGGAGCTGCCATGTTGCCGCCCACCTGGAATCACAACCAAGTGAAGGAGGGGAAACAGTGCACCCTCTGGGGCCTCCCACACACACTGTCCTGGGGACACAGAAGCCCTGGCCCACAAACTTTCTGTGGGAAAGAAATGATCCTAGACATGCAAGTGACAGCCCCACATACTCAATGCTTCTGCGTGGCTGGCACTCTGGAGTGGGACACAAGGCTGGAAGGGGGAAGGGACACTCAGAGCATGAGCTAGTACATGGCAGGGCTGGGTCTTGTCCCGTACCTGATGCCACCACGCTGGGCCAGCAGAGGGGGAGCTGACCACTGGGTCTGTCTCTTCTTTCAGACTTACATTAACATTGTCAACCAAAGAACTGGGAAGCCTGTGTCCATCAAATTTTACACGGACCCTATGGTGGTCTTTCATCATGTCAACGCCTACGAAGAGGACGGCTGCCTTCTGTTTGACGTCATAGCCTATGAGGACAATAGCCTGTACCAGTGGTTCTACTTGACCAACCTGAAAGAAGGCTTAGAAGGGAACACCAAGATCATCCCTTTCCCCACCCTCAAGAGGTTTGCTGTGCCCCTCTACATGGACAAGGTAATGGTTTGAAGGAAGGCCGTTTTATTCCTGGGAAAACATAGTACCAGATAGGAAGCTGAGTTGGTTGACAATGAAATCTAAAATGAGCTGTTCTTAAAGAGAGACAGAAAAAGGTTTTCCTTATTTCCCCATAGTTAGTAGATAGTCATAACAGAAACTAGAAAATATAGATTAAGTAAAAAGGAAAGAAATCCCCCATAAACCCCTTGTAGATATATTTGTATTGTCCCCTCAAGTCCTCCCATCTCTCTCTTTCTCTTTGCATAGCTAACTAGCTATATAGACAGACACATTAATTGATATATATGTGTGTACATAATTGATATATGTATATTATATATACTATATACATATTGATATATCATGATCAAGTGATTAAAATTATGTACAGTGTGATTTAATTTTACAAAAGGAAATCACACTGTACATACTTTTAACTGCCTTATTTATTTGTTTATTTTAAATATATTTTTTATTGATTTCAGAGAAGAAGACAGAGAGAGATAGAAACATCAATGAGAGAGAATCATTGATTGGCTGCCTTCTGTATGCCCCACAATGGAATTGAGCCTGACATTCAGTCATGTTCCCTTGACCAGAATTGAACCCGGGACCCTTTAGTCCACAGGCTGATGCTCTATCCACTGAGCTAAACCAGCTAGGGTTAATTGCTTTATTGAGATATAATTCACATGCCATATAATTTACCCATTTTCACCCATTTAAACTGTATAATTCAAGGGCATTTAGTAAATTCACAGAGTTGTACAACTATTACCACAATCAATTTTAAAACATGTTTATTACTCCCAGAAGAAATCTCATACCCCTTAATCATAACACCTCTCAAATCCCTCCATCCCCCTGCCCTAGGCAACCACTAATCTACTTCCTGTCTCTGAGGATGTGTTTCTCGGACATTTAATAGAAATGGATCATACAGGGGTGGTTTTCTGTGACTGGCTTCTTTCACTCAGCATCATGTTTAAAAGGTTCATCTGTGTTGTAGTATGTGTCCATACATGGCTAAATGTGTACATTCTCTTTTGTGTACCGCTTTCCCCACCTATTTGTATATCTAAATATCTTTCCATGACATTAAATGTTCTTCTACAACATCGTTTTGATATTTTTCTGTCAGCCTATGGCAGGGATTCAACATCGTTTGCCTACCCAGTGCCCTGCTGTTGAATGGTACTGTTCTTGCATTAAAAATGACCACTAGATCAGATGTTAGCCTTAATTAGGGTGATGCTGCCAGAGTTCTGGACTTGATTTGGAGGCTACAGAGGCTTCTGGCTCCAGAACTCACTGACTTCATGACTTAATTAATTTAAATGAAGCCAAATTCATTTCAATTCAATTTTGATGGCTCATATTTACTAGCTGCACTCCATATGCCAGGTACTTTGCTAAGCGTTTTCTTTTTCCTTACCTCACTTAATGATCCAAACAACTTGTGGGAGAGGTCCTTATGTTAGACTCATTTAATTGATGAGGAAGCTGAGGCTCAGAGATGTTAAAGAATGTGCCCAAGGTCACACAGCCCAGAATAGCAGAGCCAAGGTTGTTATCTGCACCAGCCTGTCTCTAAACCCCATCCTTATGGCCGGTAAGAGGTACAACTCCTAGAAAGAGCCCCCGATGGGTCCCCCTGATGCCTCTTGGGGCTCGGCAGGCCTGAGGAGTAGGGGACACTCCCACAGCACCCAGGGAACCTCTCCCACCCTCACTGCCAGGCTCCTCAGTGCTGGAGTTAGGCATCTCCCAACCAGGGAGCAGGGCCTGCATTTAAACACCAGCTTTGTTGTTCCTGTCTTTCCAGGCATTTCCCCATCTGCATATCTCTGTTGTGATTTATACCCTATTTCCTATCACCTCTATTTAACATATACAAGTCACCTGTTTGTTTAAATCACCCACTGTTGAAAGAAAAACCTATCACTACCCAATGGAAAGCCACCTTGCTTGCTGCAAATAGCAGGTGATCTTGAGCATAAAAAAAATAAAATAAAAATAAAAATAAAAAAGGAAATAAAGCAGAGGTCTTACACACTAGCCAGAAATTGTTGCTTGCCAAGACTTACTGCCTTCATTAATAAGAAAGTTCCAACATGTATCACCTGTTAAAGACTTAGTGGCACCTAACTTGCTCCTTGACCTGTCAGAAAGCTTGAAAGAGAAAAAGGATGTAGCTTTCTCCCCGGGGCTATTGAATGAACTGGCTGGGTCCCACATATTCTTCACATGAGCCACTGCCCTCTGTGCCCCTTGCTCTGGGCAGAGCCTCAGTGCAGGGCCTCAAATCGCAGCTCCTGGTTTCAGGAAGCAATGGGGGGTGTCACAAAGCTCACAGGTGGCAAGTCCCGAGGCCCCACCCCCATCTCATGTTGGCCTGTCTGGGGAAAAGACAGAGAGGAAAGACTCCCTCCCACTGCCCACACACCACAGTATTTTATGACCTTTTATCACGCTCGAAAATGATTTGCTTCCTTGGAACCAAGCTAAGAAGTTTAGCATGTGTATTTTTAAAAGGCGCCTAGTGAGCCATCTGCTGCTTTGAAACTTGCAAAGAAGAGTGAGTCTGGATGGGTAGCTCTGGCCACGCTTTCTAATTGCTATTTATTGTCCCTTAAAAAATGTCTTCTTGCTTCACTTTCAAGTCGCCCCGCCTGCATATTGTGATCTGGAAATCAAGCAGGAGCACGTGGCCTTTATGCCCAGATCCAGCAGCTCTAATTCCATCCCATCCAAAGGCTTATTAGGGAAGAACTGCAGGCGATGCCACTCTTTCTCTAATGCCCTTCATTCTGGGGCCTTCTCACATCCCTGTCCCTCTGCCTGCAACCCCATTCTCTTCCCATCAGATCTCCACTCCAGTCTTGGCTGCAGGTCGGACTTACCTACAGGCTCTGAGACCACATCCATTCCTGCTGGGCCTCAGCCCAGACCCTCCAGAAGTGGGGTCCAGGGGTGGGCATGGTCTCAGAGCCCACAGTGGATACTAATTTGCATCTGGGAAGCAAATTCCTGGTCATCCTGCAGGTGTCAGGGTCCTTATTCCCCTCAGATGAATTTGTACACTTAGATGGCACCTGCAGCTCTTTGTAATGAACTTGTTCAGTCACCTCTTCCTATTGAAGCTCTAAGAGGGCCAGGACTCTGTTTTGTCAGCAATTTATCCCATTAAAGCTTTTGGCATTCAGAGAGTTCTCATTAAGCCCTTAAATATTTTTTAATGAATGAATGAAAACATGAATCAAGGTCTCCAAAAGGGCACAAGGTCTTCCTTTAGCACTTGGGACATTTCCTTGTAGAATGGGAATGGTAAAGTATTCAGAAGTCTGGGACCTCCTAACTGCCCCAGATTCTCTTGTATTTGGGCCAGCTGGGGTCAAAGGAAGGGGAGGCCTGTTTATGTAGAGTGGCGTGGGGATTGTGGAAGGCAGGGCTGGCCCGGGAGGGGCGTGGGCGTGTGCAGACAGTCCCTACAGGTGCCCTGCCCTTTGTCCTGCAGATGGATTCGTAAACACTGACTTCCCTCCTGGCAGTCATCCACACACAGGGGCCATCACGGGCAGTGGGTGGGAGGAGGGTAGATGTCTTGGACCTAGAAAGAGTGGTTCAGTTGGTTTGTTTATTGGTTTTTTTTTTTCTCCAAATGCAAAAATGACCCAATATTATAAGACAGCCACCACTGAGTTCACTGTATGCTAAGCCCTGTGTTATGATGACTTTTCTGCTCTTAGACCTCAGCAAGAGGGGACCCTACTCTGGCCTTGGCAGTTTGGGAGGCCCTGATCTGGCCTTTCTCCAGCAGTTTCCTTTCTCCCCACTCCCCAGTGTAAGGAGTTAAAGGGTTATGGAGTTTTGCCCACCCAGAGGGACCCTCCCCCACCCCAACCATGAACTGGCTACCCTGGATCCCTGAATTTCCTGCCCCATTAGCCCCAGCCTACTTACAGCACCTGCTCCAGTCCTCCTCAGGCCCACACGGTGGCCAGGGCTGGCTGCTGACTTGGTTTTGCTAGCTGGGGCATCCATGCAGTGGGAAGAAAAGGGACAGAGGCAGAGAACCCAGGCCTAGAAGCTGGCCCTCGTTCTGCTACCCTACTCCAGCTCCGAACGCCAGGAGTTCCTAGAATTCTAAATTCAGGACCAGCACCATGCAATGGAACCTGCTACAGTGAAGGAACACTTATTTGTCCACCCAATGCAGTAGCCACTAGCCACTAGCCACATGTGGCTATTGAAATGTGGCCAGTGCAGCTGAGGAACTGAATTTTAAATTTTTTAAAAATTTCAATTAAACATTAAATGTAAAGAGCCACGTGTAGCTAGTTATTGCCATATTGGACAGCACCAGTCCACAACATTGTGAAGGTCCGTGTGCCAAGGCAGAGGAGAAAATGGCCTTTTACTTAACCATTTGCTATGTGTAGACCTGGGGTTGGTGGGCCTCATTCTCATTGGGGTCCTGCAGTTTTAGGGGTGGTTACATGCTTTGCATGCCTCTCACCTCATCTTGATGACAGCCCTCTGAGTGATTCATTATCCCGTGACTACAGATGAGAGCCACCTGCCCGACATCACAGAATTGTCGGTGGGATTTGAATGCATGTCTGCCTTGCTCCCAGTTACTAATTATGATAGGTCTGGCCCTGGACCAGGTATTTTTATAACCATTATTTAACTTAATCCTAGCCATTATCCTCAGACGCATGTCAAAAGAACCAGTCCAAAAAAATTACAAGTGGTTCTCCCCCGCAGCCCCCCCAATTTTACAAACGAGGAAGCGAAGCAAGGAAGCGGGCTCAGGGAGGCTGAGAAAGTTCACAGAGAAAGCTGTGGAGTCAGATTTCACACCCTGTGCTGCTGAACTCCAAAGTCAGCGTTTTGGAGAATTACTGAGATGACTTCTTCTCCCCCTTGAATGTAGGGATTTCAAAGTAAGCTCGCAGAATTTTGTTGCATTCTGGCTGGAAAGCCATTTCTTCCCAAAGCTGAGCATGTTGGCCACCGAAAGCAGCCGAGTCATGTTCATTAGTGCTGTGTGTGGAAAAATTCAGTTTATCCCTCAACCAGTCTGACCAGTTTCAGGCTGGAGTTCTAAGACGGCTCTGCAGATCGACTCCCTAAGAATCAAGCCCAGGACATGCACAAGAGGCCTATTGCCGTCATGTGACTAGCAAGTCACCAGGAGGGGCCTTCCACCAATTTGTTGTGCATCACAGGTGGAGGCATCCAGAGCTTTTGTTTCTAAGAAACCGTAGATGTGCTGGATGCTAAGTGACTTTTAATGCACTTTATCGCCTTTCATTCTTACAACCATTCGGCAAAGCACGTTTTGCCCCTTGATGGTTAAAGGAAAGCTTTCTGAGTCATGCATTCACTCATTTATTCAGCAGTTACTCCCTGGGAGGTATGTGCCATGCACTGACCAAAATCTGGTCCCAGTCTTCCTAGGGAAAGATCATAAAAGAAGAAAGCAGCTCCCTAAAGAGATAATTGCAGGTTGGGACACACGCCTCAGAGACACTGCAGATTGAGTTGTTTGGGAAGGGACGTTGAGTTGAGACCTGCAGGATGGGAACGGGCCAAGCCTCTGGGCCTTTGCACCTGCTTTGTCCTCTGCCTGCAGCGCTCTTGCTTCTGAGTAGAAGAATCGCCAGATAAAGGTCTGGGCTCAGGCCCTGCTTCTCGCTGTGTGACCTTGGACGAGCCGCTTTCCTTCTCTGGGCCTCAGTTTGGTCTTCTGTAAATTGAGGGATTGAACTAAAAATGTCTTGAAGGGCCCCTGCATTGTAATAGCTAGGATGTAGTAAATTTTCTCTCCTTCCCAGCCAAAAGCAGCTATTGTTCAAATAGGTTTATTTCACTATAAAAGCCCATTTTGGAAAATTTGGTAAGTAGAGAAAAGTTTAAATGAAAAGTCAACCATAATAATAATTTTCCCCAGTAACAAGGCAGGGGCTTGTTTCTCATTCTCTCCCAGTGGTAATGGCTTTAATGTAGTAGGAGGAGTAATCTATACTAATAAAAGCCTGGGTGGTCGTCACGCTGTCACAATTTATCACCAGGGTGGGCGGGCTTGATGCTGTGTGCAGGGCTTGGGGGCGGGTCCTGACAGCTGCTCCACAGGGCTTCCACCAGGAGTCCCACAGCCTCATGCCTGCCTCGGGGGCGGGACCCTGGTTCCAGCCTACTGCTTTGGGTCAATTCCCATCGAGGAGGCCTACCTCTTTGGGGTGATAGATTGCAGAGCTCCCACATTGTGATTGGATATAGGCCTGTGGGGAACACCTCCCCCCAAGTGCATTAATTTTGTGCACGGGGCCTCTAGTATTGGTAATAATACAACAGTCATATAATCAATAGCAGCTAATTATCTAGCACTTTCTGCCAACCAGGCTCTCTTTAAATTATTTGCATGGATTATTTAATCTGCACAATAATTCGGAGACACATATACCATTCCTACAATGCATATTCCTACTACATTATATTATACAAGTGAAAACACTGAATTTCAGAAATACTATGTACCTTACTCAAGGTTCCATAACTAGTATGTGGAGCAACAGGGAGTGGTAAATGCTCAATAAATATTCAATCAATTGTGTTAAATCCCTCTCCTGGATTACAAATATGGCAGTAAGGCACTGACCGAAGTCTGATTGAAACCTGAGACCAAGGAATGTCCTTGATTGATATCTTTTTCCCCAAGTAAATGTTATTGCATGTTTATTTTATTTTCAGCCATGATACATTTTCACAGGAGAATATACTAAAAATATAGATAAACGTGGAAAAAGAAATTAAGGTCTCCATACAGTCACTGCCTGCTATATTATTAATATTTTGTCTATTTCTCCCCAGGCTCTTTTCAAGGTAATTATTTTAGCTGGCTGAGGTCACGCTGCATATGCAATTTACTCTGCTGCTCTTTTCACTCAGTATTCTATCATGAGCACTTCCCATGTTATTATGAACTCTTTATAAACAATCTTTTAATGACTGATGCAGCCTTTTACAGGTGAATCATCCAGTGTTTAAAAAGTACATTAATTTCACTTGTGAGGGATAAGGTGGCCCACGGTAGAAAAAAAGAGCCATGGTTTTAGTGGCTCCCGCCCTACCACCTACCAGCTATCCGATCTTGGAAGAGTCACTTACAATTGCCAATCCGTATTTTTAACTGAGAATACCTGTTTATGCCATAGCTGCTTCCTGTAAGTAATGTAAGGACATAGTAAGATGACATACACAGAAGCATTTTTTTTATATTTTTTTATTAAATTATTATCTATGTACATATTTTAACATTGCCCCCCATCCCATACATATCCTCCCTCCCCAGAGTTTTGTGTCCATTGGTTGTACTTATATGCATGTATACAAGTCCTTCGGTTGATCTACTATCTCCCCCAGATCTCCCTACCCTCCCTGCTATAGTTTGACAGTCTAGAAGCATTTTTTTTTAATGTACACAGTAAAACAAATGTTTCCTTGTTCCTGATTAACAAGTTTTTATTTTTGTTGGAAAATTGATTCTTTCAGAATGCGGAAGTGGGCTCAAATTTAATCAAACTGTCAACTACAACAGCAAGAGCCCTGAAGGAGAAAGATGACCAAGTCTACTGCGAACCAGAGTTTCTCTATGAAGGTAAGCTACATCCTCTATCCCTGTGTTTAGGGGAGAACAGAATTTCATGAAGCCTCACAAGCCTCTTTGGGTAATACCACCTTCTGATTCTGAGATGCTATGCACAGACAAGAGACAAAGAGGAAGGCTCTTTGGGATGCCCCAGTGCAAAGCATTTGGGGACAGTTGTCTTTCATGTGACCTCAAACCCCACCCAGGAAAGTCCTGGATGGTCACTGAACCTGGTGACTTTCATGGCTGCCCCCCACAAATGCTGTGCTGTACTGAACGCAGACTAACAGGCACGGCACGTTTGGATCCCTACCTCTACACATTCACGATACCCCACATAACAGGTACTGTCAGCACGTCACAGAGGAGCCTCAGAAAAAGGTTGAGCTATACACAGAACAAAAACCCCTTGAATAGAAGTCACACCCACTAGAGCAGGGCTCCTCCACCTGGCACTCCTGATACTTGGGGCTGGTCATTCTTTGTGGTGGGGCCATCTTGAGCATTGTAGGATGTTGAGCCACATCCCAAGCCTTGACCTACCAGATGCCAGTAGGACCCCCAACCTGAAATGGAACAAGCATAAACATGCCCGGACATTGCCAGTCTCCATTGGGGGGTGGGGGGCACCATGGTCCTGATTGAGAACCTCTGCCCTGAGATATAACAAGTCCATGGAGTGGGGACAATGCTTTTGTGCTCAGTGTTATTACCATGTGACAAAAGTCTGGGTCTGAGCTCAATACTTAAGTTCGTAGGGAATGGGCTTGCCCAGGATACTCTGGGTGTGGCAAGGCCTGGCTCCCCAGGTGGCTGCCCCATGCCAGGTCCAAGCTCTGTAAGAGTGCCAGCCTGGGGACTCTCCTAGGATGACCTCAAATATGACCACTAACAATCAGTTTTGTAAACAGTGTCCCATGGATCCAACAACCAGTTCTTTTTTTTTTTTTTTAATATATTTTATTGATTTTTTACAGAGAGGAAGGGAGAGAGATAGAGAGCTAGAAATGTCGATGAGAGAGAAACATCGACCAGTTGCCTCTTGCACACCCCCTACCGGGGATGTGCCCGCAACCAAGGTACATGCCCTTGACCAGAGTCGAACCCGGAACCTTTCAGTCCGCAGACCGACGCTCTACCACTGAGCCAAACCGGTTTCGGCCCAACAACCAGTTCTGTGTGGCACCCCAGACTCTTAGAGTCTTTAAAAGTGAAAATACAGATCTCATTTTCTAATTCTTTAAAAAATATATTTTAAATCCTCACCAAAAGTGAAGATATTTTCTTCCCCATTGATTTTTAGAGAGAGTGAAAGGGAAGGATGAGGGAGGCAGAGAGAAAGAAAGTATATATATAGAGAGAAAAACAGTGATGTGAGAGAGACACATTGATTGGTTGCCTCCCGCTCATGCCCCAACCAGGGCCAGTGTTGAACCAACTGCCCTTGACCAGGAATTGAACCCATGACCCTTCCATCCACAAGCTAACACTCTAACCATTGAGAAAATTGGCCAGGGCCATTTCTAATTTTTTTTAAAAGTACATATTTTTATTGATTTCAGAGGAAGGGAGAGGGAAAAATAGATAGAAACATCAATAATGAGAGAGAATCATTGATCAGCTGCCTCCACAATACCCCGCATTGGGGATTAAGCCTGCAACCCGGACATGTGCTCTTGACTAGAATCAAACCCAGGACCCTTCAGTCTGCAGTCTGACACTCTATCCACAGATCCAAACCAGCTAGGGCCTATTTCTAATTCTTAAGGCATCAATTTCCATTTCTTCTCGTCCACCATGTGGTGTGGGAGATGGAGACTTAAAACATTATAGTTCTTTTGTTTCTGAGAATTCCTGTTTATTGTAGCAACTGTGGGCAATACTGAAAAGTATGACAATAAATAAATCCCTCATAATCCCTCCACAACCTTTCCAGTTGTCTCTCTTGTGTAAGGGCTGCTTGGCGGATGCCAGGCCCTCTTCTAGGAGCTGCTCAGCTGTTCTTTCATCCTAGCACTTCATCCTGTTGTCATCCACATTCAATGGGTTCATACATGAGGGGTTGAGAGTCCGAGAGATGTAGCCGTTATTATTAGAACAACTCCAGCATGTCCTCTTCTCCTTTTAGAACTGTGGATAGCAAAGCTGAGGACAACATGGTAACAGGCAGCAAAGCCAGGATCTGCATCCAGGTTTCTTTGACTCTTAACCTCTGCATTTATACTTTCAGGAATGTGTACTATTCTATACTATCTGGAATGTTCTGAAATGGCTTCTTCTTAAAAAACGTGGCTTTAACAGCCATGCAAAATTTACTGGGATGAGTCAGACTTTACTTAACCAAGTGCCTACGGTTGGCCATTTACAGTGTGGGGGAATGGAGTCCCAGATAAGGGGCGCAGGAGCATGATAGGAAGTTTCAGGCTTACTTTAGGGTTGACTAGAGTCCCTGTGCACAAAATTTAGGCACAGGGCAGGGGTAGGAGACAGTGCACTCTTTCAGTCTCAGCCCAGTGCACCCTCTCCAATCTGGGACTCCTTGAGGGATGTCTGACTGCCCATTTAGGCCCAATCCCATGGGACGGGGCCTAAATGGACAATTGGACATCCCTCTCACAATCCAAGACTGCTGGCTCCCAACTGCTCACCTGCCTCTTCCTGGTTGCCCCTAACTGCTTCTGCCTGCCAGTTTGATCACCCCCTAACCACTCAACTGCCAGCCTGATCGACACCTAACTGCTCCCCGGCTGGCCTGATTGCCCCTAACTGCCCTCTCCTGCCATCCTGGTCACCCCTAACTGCCTTTTCCTACCAGTCTGGTCACTCCTAACTGTTCTCCCCTGCAGTGGTCCCCCCAACTGTTCTCCGCTGCAGGCCTGATCTCTCCCAGCTGCCCTCCTCTGCTGTTCTAGTCACCCCTAACTGCCCTCTATGCTGGCCTGATTGCCCACACTGCCCTCCCCTGTAGGCCTAGTCCCCCCCACCCCACTGCCCTCTCCTACAGACCTGGGTCCCTCCCAATTGTCCTTCCCTGCAGGCCTGGCCCTCCCAAACTGACCTTCTGCAGGCCTGATCCCCTCAACTGCCCTCCCCTGCAGGCCTGGGTCCCGCCCCCCCCAACGGTCCTCTCTTGCTGGCCTGGTCTCCCCCAACTGTCCTCCTCTGCAGCCTGTTACCTCCAACTGCCCACAACTGCCCTCCCCTGCCAGCCATCTTGTGGTGGCCATCTTGTGTCCACATGGGGCCAGCCATCTTTGACCACATGGGGTGGCCATCTTGTGTCTTGGAGTGATGGTCAATTTGCATACTACTCTTTTATTAGATAGAATATATATACTATAATAGAGGCCTGGTGCATGAAAATTCATGCACTTGGTGGGGAGTCCCTCAGCCTGGCCTTCACACTTTCACAATCTGGGACCTCTTGGGTAGGGTCCCTAGGCTTGGCCTGAGATCAGGGTCTATCTGGGCTTTCCTTCCCTGGGCTGCAGGCAGCTGACCCCACCCCCACCACTGCCATTACTTGCCATTGGTACAGCACTGCCCCCATCCCCTGCCACCAGTGATCTCCCTCTGCAGGCGACAGGCTGGGGTGCAATGGCTTGGCTGGCCTGAGACTCCTTCTTTCTTTGCTAGTGGGCAGGGCTAGCCCTGTACAGGGCCATCTGCCTATCTTATTGTCCCTAACTGCTTGCCTGATCACCCCTAATCTCTGGTCTGCCTACCTGATTACCCCTAACCATTCTGCCTGCCTGCCTGATTGCCGCTAACCACTTGCTTGGGGGCAAGGCCAGCCCTGTGAGGAGCTGTCTGCCTACCTGACCTCTCCTAACCACTTGCCTGCCTACCTGATCACCCCTAACTGTTGGTCTGCCTACCTGATTACCCTTAACCGCTTGCTTGAGGGCAGGTCCAGCACTGAATTCTGGTTGGTCAGCCTCCGGTAGTTACTAGGTTCTTATATTGATTTTTATTGATTTCATAGAGGAAGATAGAGGGAGAGAGAAATAGAAACATCGATAATGTGAGAGTATCATTGATCGGCTGCTTCCTGCATGCCACCTTCTGGGGAATCAAGCCTGCAACCCAGGCATATGCCCTGACGGGGAATTGAACCGTGACCTCCTGGTACATAGGTTGATGCTCAATCACTGAGCCACACCAGCTGGGCTTTGGACATCTTTTTCTGATTTCAGTGTGTGAGAGGTCCCTCCTCCTCGTGTTCATCATGACCTGTCTCTTGGAAGTTTCATGGTTACTCACCTGTAAGATTATACATCTTCCCTCCTCAGGAATCCATTCCCCTTTACTCCCCAGTGAGCCTGAGAAGCATTTATGCCTTGGTCCTTCTCAGGAGGCCTTTCTGTGGCAGCTGTGCCCATGCCTGCTTCCTCTTTTCTTGGACATTATATTTCCATCAGCAGTTGGCTCCAACTACCTGGCATATTTCATCAGAGGGGAACTTTCATTTTTATATACGGCCTTAGAAATTTAATTTGACACCACAGGCATATATCAATATACATTTACATAGACAACATTTTAAGGTTTTTTTTTTAATTATAAAAGCAATAAGTACAATGAAAATTTCACAAAATGAGAAACCTAGTGTACAATATGAAACATAAACTAGAAGGAAGTTATCACCCCAGCAATGCTTCTAAACTTTTCTCTTTATTTTTTAGCATAGTGGATATAATTCTATAATCAGCCTTTTGCACTTAATCTTATGATATGGACACTTTCCCATGTTATTAAAATTATTTGTAGATATTATCTTAACATAAGGTTCTTATATGAATTTGACAGATTTATTTAATTATTCCTCATTGACACTCCTTTACACAGATTCAGAAGTTTCTTTTCATACCCACACACACGTGTGCACACACATGAGTACTTTTTTTTTTTTTTATAAGAGCTTTAAAAAATTGCAGTGGCTTCTGATTCTAATCATGCAATTATTTTGATTTCTATCTTGGATAATTAAAGATTTTTATATACTTAAGTACCTTGCTCCTGAATCTTCTACTAGAGCCAGGATAATTATCAGAGGTTCCTTGCCCCTGCCTGGTGACTACCCTGATCCAATCCAGGGCCTGAATGGAGTTCAGGGATGCTGGCCTGGGAGACGTTTTTGTGGAGAGGGTGCCCAGCCCTGCACAAAGGGCGATGCTCCAGCCCTCAGGATGGGCCTTTGTAAGCTGTGTCATTCTTTCTAGGCTTAGAACTGCCTCAGATCAATTACGCTCACAACGGGAAGCCATATCGGTATATCTTTGGTTTTGACGTTCAAAGGACTCCCAACTCAAACAAGGTACTGATTCCTGGGCAATCACCGCTTGCAACAATCCTGTCTGTCTACAAAGCTGAGTTCTCAGGTTCTCAAACTAGGTGACCTTGATTAGAAAATGGAGGGCAAGAGGGAGATCCCCTGGGGGACAGGAGGTAAGTCAGAGAGTAGGTCAGTTTGGAACCAAATACATTTGAAGCAATGATGAGCCCATGGAGAAAGCCATACCTAGTGGGCTGAAGCACAGGAAAGAGATCATGGATGCAGTTTATCCATTGATTTCTTTATTCCAGGCGTGTTTTTTGAATGCCAACTATGTGTTACAAGGTAGTAGACAATAAGGATTAGGAAGTGTACAGGGTCTCTCAAGCAGGGAGGGTATAGCTAAAACTTGGAAGATTCAGTTGTGTGTTTTTTCAAACTGCTATTTGTGGAATAGGTTAAGTGCTGTACAGATACCACTTTTATCTTCATTTTTAAACAACAAATGGGAAGTCTTTGAAAAATGTACACGTAGAAAAGTACACACTAAGAAAATTAATTTTCCACACACATGTACAACCCCCCCCCATCACTCCCCACTAACCCCATATCCTAAGGGAAACTGGCCTCTTGGTGATTAAAAGTCCAGTGATCTGTACTTTTAAAACAACAAAAGAATTGTATTATACTTTATTTTATTTTTTTAAAAATATTTTTTAAATTGATTTTCAGAGAGAGAGGAAAAGTTGAGGGGGAGAGAGAGAGAAACATTGATCAGCTGCCTCCTGCAAGTCCCCACTAGGGATCAAACCCACAGCATGAGCATGTGCCCTGACCGGGAATTGAACTATTATAGTAATCTTTCAGTACCAAGGGTGATGCCCAACTAATTGAGCCACACCAACCAGGGCTGTATTATACTTTAAAATGTTTGCATTGGAGCCCTGGCTCATTTGGCTCAGTGTTGGCCTATGGACTCAAGGGTCCCAGGTTTAATTCTGGTCAAGGGCACATGCCCAGGTTGCTGACTAGACCCCTAGTAGGGGGGCATGCAGGAGGCAGCCAATCAATGATTCTCTCTCATCACTGATGTTTCTATCTCTCTTCCTCTCTCTTCCTCTCTAAAATCAATGAAATGTTTGTATTGGATATGTTAGTTTATTTAACTATAGGAAAATTGCAATGTGATACCAAACACCAGATAAATTCAGGATTTTTGTTTTGAAAAGAATTCCGTGTGTAATGTCAGCTATGTGGTGGCAGAAGGACCTTTGCTTCAAGTTGGAGGAGGAAGCTCATTGCTTTCATGACTCCAAGATGTCATTTTGGAGTCTACATGGGAGGGGCTTAATCCTTTTTCTGTGGGGCTCCCATGCTTTTTTTTCTCTGTACTATAAGCATGCTTTCCAACAAGTTATCTCCATGTTTTCCTCTTTGGATGTGCAGATAATAAAATATGACATCCTCACAAAGTCATCCTTAAGATGGGGAGAGGAGCACTGCTGGCCATCGGAATCCGTGTTTCTGGCCACACCAGATGCCAAAGAGGAGGATGACGGTAAGACTCAGGGAAGGGAAGCCCGCCCATTATACTCTGCTTGTGATCACATCCTCAGACAGAAACATCATTTGGGGATAGTGGCCCCGCCCACATCACACAGCTGGGGGAGGTGTGCTTTGAAACCCCAGTCTGTATGAATCTAAAACTGCAGGGTTAGGGAGTCCTCAAGACCACCCATACCTCTGACATCAACTTCAAGTTTTGTGGTCCCCAAGTCCACCTTTGGTTTCAATAGAAGGAATCACAGAACACACTGAAAATTGTTACTCTCATGGTTATGGTTTATCTCAGCGAAAAGATGCAGATTGAAAGAGAAGAGGTGTATGGGGCCATGCCCAGGAGAGTTCCATGCGTAGAGCTTCAGTTGTTCTCTCGGGAAAGTCACGGATGCCACCTTCTGCCAACAATACTCGTGGAGTATCACTGACCAGGGACACTCCCCGGAGCCTTGGTGTCAGAGCCTGTGGGGAGGTGTGGGAGAGGGTTGGCCATATAACTGTGGTTGACCTTTAGTCTTTAGCCCCTCTGGAGGTCAAGCTGACTCTGGCTTAAAGCTCCCATATACGTCCCTTGGTGAGGGTCGGTTATCTGGTTGGCCCCAGGTTAGCAGTCACCTCCTAGCATTGAGTTATTTGCTGCACAAAAGCCCACTTCCCAGTGAGCAGCACCAGGATTTCCCAGAGTGTAGAACCTTGGTTTTAAAATTCACTTTCACGACAGGGTCAGAGTTCTTCATTATCTAAGCATGTAACTTTCTGGGGAGGAGCACCTAGAAATGTGTGTTTGAGGCCCACCTTGCTTTGCTGGATTTCCACATGACAGATGGTCCTTTCCCTTCTTGATTCTGACTTTGACCCAGAAATGCCCTGCCTACACCCATGAGGGTGCCAAAGAGGGTAACAAAGAACCCTGGGTGGGGCTGCCCCATGGAGCCTGCCAGCTGCTTCCCTCAGGTGAGAAGGGAGAGGTTTTCTACCTACTGATCATGCATGGCATGGCACCCGGCTGGGACCCCGTGTCACTGTCATCTCTAAGGTTGGGGGTTGAGGGTACCACCTCCTGCTGAGGCTATGAAAGTGTGTCCCATGCATTTTCTCCATGGACAGGAAGTAGCATAGTCTTCATTTCACCAAAGGAGAGGCCAAGAGAATGAAGTAACTTGCCCACAGTCACACGCCCAGTGCCTATAGAGATAGGATTTGAGACCAAGCCGATCTGACTTCAATTATGGCTCTGAAACCTGAGAGGCCCTGGGACGAAGCACGAATTTTTGCTGGAAGTTTATGTGCATTATTTTATGTGTGTTCCTGAGAATGAGTGCTTAAAATGTTCCCATTGTACAGAGGGGGAAACTGAGGCTGCATTGAGGTGGATTGGGCTCATTCGAATGCCATTTGAGTGTAACTAGTCTGAATTTAGCCAAGTGATGCATGTTAGCCTAAATGCAGCATTGAAACCAATTCTCTATAGTCAGTTTCTAAATAGTAGGGAAATAGCCATTCTGCAGCACCTGCAGTAATTTACAAAGTGCTTTTATAATTCATCATGCAAGTGATCCTCTTAAGCAAGCCTGTGGGGGCAGGGACATTATCCCACTCTACCAATGAAGAGACTGAGGTTCAGAGAGGTAAAGGGACTGGCCTACCCAGGGTTGGAAGCAGGTCTCCTGAGTCCTAGTTCTTTCTCTGTTCTTTCTCTTCTGCTCACACAGAATATAAAATTCACTTTCCTTCTGTTTTGATAGATACTAACATTCATAGAGGACGGGAAGACATAGCTGAGAAGCTTGTCCCTCCAACTGGAGGAGATTCAAGGCTGCACTTTTACTAAGTGTCTCTTTTTGTTTCCCCAAAGGAATTCTCCTAATGACCATGGTCTCTTCTGATCCCCAAAAGCTGCCTTTTCTGCTTATTTTGGATGCCAAAAATTTGGCAGAACTAGCTCGCGCATATGTTGATGTGGACATGCACCTGGATCTCCACGGGTTATTCATCCCGGACACAGACTGGGACCCAAGGAAGCAGGCCCCACCCAAAGAAGTCCAGGACAGGGCTTCAGACTGCCCCATGGCCTCGCAGACAGGACAGGCGTGAGCGGCCCCATGGGTAGGCTCCCAGGGACACAGGTGTGATCCCCCTCTGGGTGAAGGGCCGGTCCTTCCTTTCATTTGGTGTTTATTCTTTCGGTGTTTGCTTTGAGACAAAGGTTTGGAGGTAGAGCTCATCAGTATCTTTCTTTCATTTCATTTTGGCCATGAAAACCATGTTTGAGCATTGATCAAATATTTATTGATAGCTCTAGCACTTCTAAGAAAGCCCCTTTTCGTCCTAGCCAGTTTGGCTCAGTAGATAGAAGGGATTGCAGACAAGGGCACATACCTTGGTTGCAGACTCCTCCTTGGCCTGGGAGCTGGTCGGTGTGTGCAGGAGGCAACCAATCGATGTGTTTCTCTCACATTGACATTTCTCTCTATCTTTCCCACTTTCTTCCATTCTCTGTAAAAATGAATGGAAAAATATCCTTGGGTGAGGATTAAAAAAGAAAAGAAAAAAGAAAAGGAAAGGAAAGAAAAGCTCCTTTCATATAAAGACCATGACCTTGAATCAGTAATTATGTTGTCATGTATTCATCACTCTTAGAATGACAGAGAAGAGAGAGATAAACATTTATTTTCTTAGTCCATCCCCTTCTCTCCCTTACCTCCCTCTGTTCTTTCCAGTGGACTAGATTGTACGCCTGGGAGTTCTAGCCTTCTCACTATGCCCTGATAGTAAATTATGTGGCCAGGAAGGCATGTTGCTTTGTGGTCATTCCATGCAAGGCATGGCATAATATAAAATAATAAAAACTTTAAAGTCTCTTCAGACCTTATTTTATTTTTACATGGCTTCTTTCCTCTGAAGTTCTTCTAAGGCAATAAAATACAGTGGCAGGGCTAGATGGTTGGTAGCAAGCTTACTGGCTCATTGTACAGCCAAAGCTTCAACAGATGGGTGTGGGAATCGCCTTTTACAGGAGGTGGTTAAGGGTCTGGACACTGACCCGACTGGCCATAGCTAAGGGGCCAAGATCCAGGACTGAGTCCCAGGCCAGGGCTGGCTTGAGGAGCACTTGCCTGATGCTGAGAACCAGGGCAGCAAGCCACGCCCGTGTGTACAGGAAAGAAGGTTCTCCAAGGTGAATGTGCTACTAGACCAAGCATTTGGGACAGAGGTGGAAGGAGCATGTTGGGTAGAAAAGTATGAGCAAGCCAAGCACAGTCCCATGTGAATCCTGGGAGTCCAGGGCCATGCCCGGTGCCTGGTTTAGAGAACCAAAGGCAGGCCTGATAGTTCCCAGATACCTATGGCAGAGAGTCAGGGAGGCCTAGCATTCCACCCTTAGTATTGCACCTGCCTACTCCTGAGTCTAGATTTCACTCAGTCACCAGAGGGAATTTGTGACATGTTGCAAGGATGGGATGGAATCTCCCTGACAGTGCATAAATATGCCAAAGGGGAAGGCAGGCAGATGGTCTTGGCTTTTGCCCTGCAGCTACCCTGTAGCCATACTTAGTTTCTACTCAAATGTTGGCACCATCAGGTAAGGGACATTTTTAAATTTAAACTTTTATTGGAATAATTATAGATTCATGTGCAGTTTGAAGAAATGATAACGGGAGATTCTACATGAACTTGAATGTTTCCCCCAATGGTAACATTTTAGTACAATATCACAACCAGACTATTGGCATAGGCCAATCCACAGATATTATTTGGATTTTCCCAGTTTTACCTGGGGGTGGTGGTAGGGCGGGGTATGTGAGTATAGTTCTATACAATTTTATCACATGTGAAAGTTCCTGCATCCAACACTACAGTCAAGATATTGAATAGTACATTGACACAAGGATGTCTCAGGTTGCTTTTCTATCACACACCTATCTCTCTCCCACCACCACCTCCCATACCTCATCCCGGCAACCATCATTTCTAAAAGTTTATCATTTGAAAATGTTATGTAAATGGAAAAATGGAATCACACAATATTGACCTTTGGGGATTTAGCTGTTCTCACACACAGCAGAATTCCTTGAAGATTCATCCAATCTGTTCCCTTGTTGGGTATGTTTTACTCACTACTTTATCCTCAGCATCTAGAATACTGCAGGCAGGTTCAGGTTCTCAATGAATAGCTGTTGTTGAATGAATAAATGAATTCCCTCAACAGATTCAACTCGAAAATGTACCAACAAGAAATGGGTATTTATTTTACTAAGGATCTCCTGGGAAAATGAGGAAGACTGTTCACATGGATCCGCAACACACAAAATTCCCATGCAGGTTCCTGCCATTGCTCTTCCCCTATAGGTCCCTCAAATCCTTTTTTGTCCTCCCAGAATTTCCATTTCATGCAAAGCTTACAGATCTCATTAAAAAACCGGACTGTAGCTGAAACCGGTTTGGCTCAGTGGTAGAGCGTCGGTCTGCGGACCGAAAGGTCCCGGGTTCGATTCCAGTCAGGGGCATGTACGTTGGTTGCGGGCGCATCCCCAGTAGGGGGTGTGCAAGAGGCAGCTGGTCGATGTTTCTCTCTCATTGACGTTTCTAGCTCTCTATCTCTCTCCCTTCCTCTCTGTAAAAAAGCAATAAAATATATTTAAAAAAAAAAAAAAAACGGACTGTAAAGATGACAGAATGAAGACCATCCCATCTTCCTCAGACTCTCCCCCAGAGGTCTCTGCCCCTCCGGTCTTGACAGGGCACATCAGGAAATGCCACCTGTGGTGGCCAAAGAAAAAGGTGACTGAGATCAGAATTCAGGTGGCAGGAGTGGAAAAGGGTTGTGACAGTGATCATCACTCACCTACTCGTTATTCTACTTTAAATATTTGAGAAGAGGGTGGGATGAAAAAATGCCTCCCCACCTCCATTCTACTCAATTCCCATTGCCAAACAGCACCTAGACCTAATCATGAAAAAGGGTGCAGTTCTGCGGGGAAGAAAAATACGTCCACAGTGGTTTGTTTACCTTGTTTAAAATGAGAGGTGAAATACCAGACTGATGAGGAAGCTTGGCACAACAAATCTTTTTTTCTTAGTTTCAAAAGCACCAAAGGTCAGTTCCCATGATATCTGACCTTTTTTGTACCTTAATTCCATCACATTTCATACACAGGCCAGGGTAATGAGCTCAAAAATGCTGCAGTTAGCTAAGATGCATGCGTCTTTCTTAAAGGCACCACAGGGCAATCCATCCTGTCCTTGAGCCTTCCTTGTTATGCTGCAGGTGGGTGGAGTACGTGACCAGGAAGCTCTACAGGAAAAATCACTCAGCTCTCTTTATTGCTCTGGGAAAGCCACAACATTTCACAAGTGCTCTAAGATGGAAGCGCAGGTACACGGTAAGCTCTCAAGTGTTTGCTGACACACTCCCCTTTTCCTTCAAGGGTTTCTCTTAAGTTGATTCCAATTCAGGAACAAGCTGGATCTATATACCCAGACAACTCAACTCATGGAAAATCTAAGTGCATTCTAGCTACATCAGCAGTATTGGTTTGTGTTCATTTCTTCCCAACCAAAGTTACCAAGCATCAGGCTGACTCCTTTAAGAAGGTTGCTTGTCCAGGTTAAATACAAACACCTTTGATCACTTCTTAAGTTGTTTGAAGACTGTTTGGGTGGTTTTTAAATGAGAAGTCTTTCCCATGACAAATGAGGACATGCAGACAGAAAAGTCATTGCCACCTTCATCATTATTCAGCAATAATGGTGAGACAATGGCCTCACCACCAACTTCCTTCTGGGGGTTCATTTTTTTATTTTTTAAAATTAAATTGGGGTGGCATTGGTCAACATGAACATACAGGTTTCAGGTGTGGGTTTCTATGTTACAAGATCTATATATTGTACCCTGTGCCCACCATCCTAAGTCAAATCTTCTGTCATCCCATATTAGGACCTCCTTCACCTCCCACCCCCTTCCCCTTGGCAACCACCACACTGCTGTTTCTGTTCACGAGTTTCCATTTTACATCCCACATATGAGTGAAATATTATGGTTCTTAGCTTTTTCTGTCTGATTTATTTCACTTAGCATAGTGTTTGTTCTTAAGGTCCATCCATGTTGTTACAAATGGCACTATTTCATCCTTTCTAATGGCTGAGTAGAATTCCATTGATTACATGAACCACATCTTCCTTATCCAGTCCTCTATCACAGGACACTTTGGTTGTTTCCATGTCTTGGTCACCGTGAGCAATGCTGCAATGAACATAGGGGTGCATATATCTTTGTGAATATATGTTTTCAGTACATGCCCAGGAGAGGGATTGCTGGGTCATATGTTAGCTCTATTCTCAATATTCTGAGGAATTGCCAGACTGCTTTCCATAGTGGTTAGGGGTGTAGACTCATCAGCCAGGTGCAGACACGCACAGGCCTGGCTGCACCAGCTGCTGGGCTGCATCAGGAAATGGTCTCTTGAGGTCAAGAAGCTGGAGATTTCCTCAGACAAGGGGAGCAAAGGGATATATGGTGGCACTGTGGGGCCCTAGCTAGCCTTTTTCTCCTTCTGGTGATCAGGAAAGGCTCCCTAGAAGTGGTGGGAGGGAGCACCCAGCAAAGTCCTTGTAGGCTAAGGGTACAGCTCAGGATAAGGATTTACAGGCGGATGTGGGTTAACTGGGCAAAGCAGGTGGAGAGTAAATTTCCTAGGAAACAGCAGTGGAGTGAGAGAACTGGAGGATTTTCCCCCTCTGGTTATTAAAGTCGTATATGGTCATTGTAGAACACCTGGATACATTAAGAAAAGGAAATGAAGATGTGGCTCAGTTGTACCAAAAGGTCACCCGTTCGATTCCTGACAATGGGGCTCCATCTCCAGTAGGGGGCATTGCAGGAGGCAGCTGATCTGATGTTTCTCACATTGATAGTTTTCTCTCTCTTGGTCTCCCCCTCCCTTCCTCTCTAAAGTCAATAAAAAACATATTTTAAAAAAATGAGGAAGACACCCTTTGTCCAACCACAAAAAGGAAACCCCTCAATCATTCAGGTGTGGGTATTTTTTCCCCCAGTTTAAGATTTTTTTGTGTACACAGTTAGCATATTATAT